AAACCAACACTTAAGGGATTTGTCAAATAAGCCATTTAGATGTGTTAAAGAATGGCACACATATTTTGTTAATGGGTACAAGTTTCAAACTTATGCATGGTGCAAGGAGAAAAAGACCATTAATAGTGGAGTTTATGTAAAGGGCATTACAGAAGGAGGTGAAGATGATTTCTATGGGGTCATTCAGATTAGTTTAAGATGTTCTTATTAAATTATTTTGAAAATTCAGTTTTATTTCTTTGTAATTTTACTGGCATGTTATTTGGATTAAGTTTATGAATGTGAACTATTTACCCTTACGTGGTTGGAAATTTGATTTTTATTGATGAAATTTTTTTTTTATAACTACTGTATATGTATGTTGGGGTAGAGGGTGTCACATGCAACTTCTGTATGGTGCCACATGCATGCATTTATGAGTTGACTCCATGACATTATTGTTGTTAAGTCAAACGAAGTAATTCCCAGTAAGGTTTTGAATGAGACAAATATAATACATATTGTTATTTCTAACAAGTGTGTTGGTGTTTTAGAAAAACATAAGTACATGCAAGTTGAAGAATAAAGTATGTGCATGTGCCACCGCCTGCACCAGAACCAAGATAAAGGGTGAAAGCTTCAAGCATCAGATGAAAAGATCAAATGAAGCCAAGCCTAGCACAAGAAGAAAATTGATCAAACATCAAGACAAAGCATGATCCAAGTCAGACGAAAGCACAGACATCAGATGAAGCCTAATGGTCTAGCACAAGAAGGAGAATGATCAAGCTTCAGATGATACATCCCAAGTCAGACGAAAGGCCAACACAAGTATCAAACAAGGCCAAATCAAGAACAAGACAAAAGTGGGTTATGCACCGGATGATGTCCGTACAAACACCAGATGAAAGGAAAGGTCAAACCAAATGAAAGAAAAAGTCAAAGTCTATCTTCTAGACAAACACTCAAATTCTAGACCCAGACGAAGAATATTGAAAAGCGTCTGAAGTCCACTATTCACAACATCATATATTATCTACACTCATAAGAAGAGCATATGAAGTCATCAATACTGTGAAAAGAAAGAAGAAAAGTAGACAAGCGCGAATCCATAAGTCAAAGCAAAGCATACAACGAAAATCAGATAAAACAAAGCTGAATGATAGATGAAATATGAAATGTGCACTAGACAAATAAATCAAATATCAGACGAAGATGAATCAAGGAAAACCTTAGCATAAGGATCACACGAAGAGTAAACAAAGACAAATGATAGATGGAATACAACATGTGTGCTAGACGATGATAAGTTAAATATCAGACGAAGGTGTGTCAAGGACAACCTAAAGCGCAACATAAAGACACAGACGAAGATTGGTCAAAGATCAGAAGAAAGTCAACTATACATCAGACAAAAGACAACGCATACTGAAAAGTATTCCATACGAAAATAAAGTCTGTCCATCTACAATGCTGACCAGACCAAAGAAAGTTAAGGCGTTAATGACAAATGCTCAGACGAAAATCAAATCCTGAGATGCACATTGACTATTAGACGCAGACAAAGATTGCCATACAAGTATTGGAAGAATCAAGTCTCAAAAGACAAATCAGGCATCGTCTACGACCATACGAAAGCTCTCAACATGATCGTGTGATTAAAGGAAAATACAAAGAAAAAGAAAAGCACGCAAAAGTAAAAGCATGCATGTGTCAAAAAAAGTACATTACTTTTTCAGATAAGGACAACGCTTCTATAGCTACGTGACCGGAAAAGGACAAAAGGTTCCTAAGTCTCAGTTAAAGTCAGACACAACAGCTACCAAACGTAGAAGACTTCACGCAATGTCTATAAACAGGAAGCAACATTTAATGCAAGATCTTGAGCATTAAATGAAAGATCGAACTAGTCATGAACAACTACATCCGCTTCAACGGACACTTGCAACGGGAAAATTTTACAAGACTATATATATGTCACAACTTCAAACCTGAAAAGGTTGGCGTTGGCGTTGAAAAAAAGTGATATCAAGCCCATGAAGAAATGAAACCAGAGACAGAGCTTATAGAGTCAAATCTACAATGATGTATTTATCTCTGAAGACTAAGGAGTTGTAAGTGTAACTTAGGAACATGAACCTTAGTGAGTGTAGAAACTTTTGTATCCTCTTTGTGAAAGTAAACCAAACACTCAAATCAAATCATCTATCATACATTTGTAAAGCCTGAAGAGGCTAGGGAAATAATACTTGTAAAAGCCTGGAGAAGCTTGTCAAAGAATCCTCATTGAAAGCCAGGAGTGGCTGATCAAAGAATACTAGCGCTAATGAGTGAAGTTAGTGGGCCAGGAGTGGTCGACAATCCTAACTGAGAGCTTGAAGAGGCTGAACAAAGAATACAAGTACTAATAGCCAACCAGGAGTGATTAAGAATACTCGAGACCAAGAGTGGTCAAAAATACTCACTAAGAGCCTGAAGAGGTTGAACAAAGAATACTAGAGCTAGTGAGTGAAGCTAGCCAACCAGGAGTGGTTGAGAATACTCGGGACCAAGAGTGGTCGAGAATACTATCTGAGAGCCTAAAGAGGTTGAACAAAGAATACTAGTGCTATTAACCAACCGGGAGTGGTTGAGAATACTTGGGACCAGGAGTGGTCGAGAATACTCACTGCGAGCCTGAAGAGGCTGATCAAAGAATACTAGCGCTGACAAGTGAAGTTGGCGGGCCATAAGTGGTCGATAATACTCGGCAAACCAAAAGTGGTGATAATGCTTGTACTATATTGAATATCTAGTGGAACCCTTCATTTGAAGGAGACTGGACGTAGCTTAGTTTGAGCGAACCAGTATAAAAATCCTTGCACTACTTTTCTATGTTTGAAACGCAGTTTCATTTAGCTGATTTATCATACTGAAAACTTCATCCAATTCTTATTGTTCATTACAACTATCTTCAGACGAAAACCACATTTGTTTAATTTATTATCTTAAAGAGCAGTTTTTGTTTAAGAAGTATTTTCCCTGTGAAGACAGTAAATCTTCAGATGCAAAATCTTTTGTTAAACTAACTTTGCACAGTCTTTCCAAGCAATCAAAATAATTTTTACTGGACAAAAAATAGCTTCTCTGCGAAAACGAGTTTTAAAATTCCTTTGTTCACACACACACATATTCAACCCCCCTTCTATGTGTTTTTCATCTAACTTCAATTGCATGATAAGTGAACGTGCATCTATTATAATGTATTTATAACTTCATTAACTTGAGAGTTGTGCTTGGTTATGAATGTGTGTGTGTTGCCTAACATTTATTTCTACATCTAAATCAGAGTGAGATGTTTCTCACTTTCTTGTTGCTCCATGTGCATTTTTATTGTGTTGCAGGTGATCATCAACATGAAGATGTTGGTGATGAGGTTTAAGTCTCATTGTGGAGTGTGCTCTGATAGGACATGTGGCATCGGGACTTAGTTAGGACTAATTTAGAATGTTACTCTTGTTAAATTGCTTAGAAGACCTTGACTTTTTTTTTGTTGCAATTTCTGCATTAAACTATAATTTATGATTTGTGAATGTGAGCTCTTTACCCTTATGTAGTTAGAGACTTGGATTTTATTTATGAAGGTTTTTATTTATCTCTATTTATTGTATAATTATGTATATAAGGTAGAGGGTGTCAAAAAAATTAATGATAATTTATAAATTTATGAATTCAGAATATTTCAGAGTCTAAAATTAAAAAATTATATTTTAATTTATGGAATGTACATATTAAATGTTTAATATATATAAATAAATTTTATAATAGATTATATACAAATAATTATCATGTTTAAATGTATAAATTATATTTAAAATGTATATAAATAGATATTTTAAAACATATAAATTATATTTTAAATTTGAGATAAAATTTATATTATAATATAATATTATTTTTATTTATTAATAATTTATTTTAAAAATATAAAATTTAATTTCAAATAATTAAAATAAAAAATTAAATTAAATTAAATTTATTTTTTTAAAAAAATTCTTTCGTCGATTTTTTTTATTTAAATTGTCTTATACAAAATTGATATTCTTATTTAATATATAGAGATTGATTTAAAAAATAAAATCTTGACAATCAAAAATATAAAAGATAGTTCCAATAAATAATACTTCAAATGCACAAATCATAAAAATGCTACAAACCTAAAGTTATAACTTATTTATCTTCAAAATTCAAATATTATTTATCTATACCATATCTAAAATTTCTTCAATTTTTTTAAACCTTTTTCTTAATATATCATTTTTATATGAAAATAAACCTATTTTTTTTATACTAAATAGAAAATATATAAAGAAATATATCTATTTTAATTAATATAGAGAATAACTTTTTATTTTAAATTTTTAAATAAGAGTATGATTATTATTTAAAAAATAATAATGCATCTGTCTAATAAAATACTATAAATGCAGTAAAAGTATAGTAAAAAGGGTTGCGCCACCGTTTTTTCTTTCCCAAATCCCAATCATGGATACTAATTAATTATAAACAGTGCAGAGTTAAGAGGGTCAGAGAAAGAGACTCTCGACACATATAGAGAGAGAAAGTTTTAGAGAGAGATAGGGGTCAAATCGAGCGGCGAAAGGTTGGGTGTCTTCTTTAGTATTTTTGTGGTGGTGGTGCTGGTATTAGCTTCAACCAAATAACTAAGCAATAAGAGAGAGAAAGAGAAAACAGAAAGAAAAGAAAAGAAAAACACAAACTGATAACTGAGATAACAATACTAGAGAGAGATAGTTCCAAGCTCTAATTTCCAGAAAAAAAATAAAAATAAAAACTTTGCTTCACTTTTTCTCCCTCTCTTACCCCTCTGATCTCATGCCATCCTCCCCCATGGATCCCTTTGATTTGATTCGCAAAGGTATGGTTTTTTCTTTCTCACTTTCAATAAATTTCAGATCTTTAACTTACCCATCTCGTTAAATTTCTGTGTTTTTTCTTTAATTGCCAGCTTTTGTTATGTTTGATTAATTGTACTTATTGGGTTTTTATTTTTTGTTTTCTTCTGATTCCGTAAGGGGTTGAATTGCTCAAGATCTCATAAAGGTTTTGGCTTTCATAATGGAAGGTTGTGTTATTGTTGTGCTTACGCTTTGACTTTTTTTTTTTTTTTTTTTTTTTTTTTTTTTTTTTTT